TTCCTGGACGTTCTCTTCCCACTCAATGTCGACAAAATCATATTTGTGGATGCAGATCAAGTCGTTCGTTCGGATCTTCTAGAATTAATGAATTTCAATTTGAACGGAGCCCCTTATGGATACGTTCCTTTCTGTGAAAATCGAAAGGAAATGGATGGTTTTCGATTCTGGAAATCTGGTTATTGGGAGTCACATTTGATGGGAAGACGATATCATATTAGTGCTCTCTATGTTGTCGATTTGAAGGTAAGTCTGTCTGTCTGTGTGTCTCTCTGTCCAGCATTTTTACTGAATAGTTTTTGAGCCCCCTGAACGTTTGATATCATATTTTTTGGATCTCGGATTACTGTAGGATTACGGTAGCTACAGTAACCTCATTTTCTGAGAACGTGTTCGGAATGAACGTTCCAATTTTTGCATGTAGTACCTACGTGACCTTTATAGTACAACAGCAAAAAAGTAAATATTACTGTAGGATTACGGTAGCTACAAAAAGTCTAGAACTCCACAATTCAAAAATTCCAAGATTTGGCGGGAATTCTAAAATTCAAAATACTTGGTGGGAACTCAAAGAGTCAAATATTTTGGCGGGATTTCAAAAATTTGAAACTTTCGGCGGGAATTCAAAAATTTGAAACTTTTAGCTCTAAATTTCACAAATTTTAGCGGGAATTCAGAAATTCGAAATTTCTGGCGGGAATTCAAAAATTCACAAATTTTGGCGGCAATTCGAAAGTTCAAATTATTTAGCGGGAATTCAAATCTTCAAATCCAAAAAAAGTCAAAGTTACTAACCCATATTTTTTCAGACGTTCAGAAGAGTCTATGCTGGAGATCGTCTACGTGGCCGTTACGACTCATTATCATCTGATCCGAATAGTCTATCCAATCTGGATCAGGACCTTCCCAACAATATGATTCATGAAGTTGCCATCAAATCACTACCACAGGATTGGCTTTGGTGTGAGACCTGGTGTGACGATGAGAGCAAAACGACAGCAAAAACTATCGATTTGTGTAATAATCCATTGACAAAAGAGCCGAAATTGAATGCAGCTCAGAGAATTATTGGGGAATGGAAGGATTTGGATGAGGAGATTGCGAAGGTTATTCGGAATAATGGACGAATTGAGAATTCTATTGTGCCTGAGGAGACCGGAGAAGGACAGGAGAAAGATGAACTTTAATTGGGTGTTTGTGATTGGTTTTTTACTTGTTCTATTTTAGAATTATTCTGTTTTTGTGTCGTAGTTTTAAAAAAATTAATTATTTTATAAATTCTGTTCCATATAATTTGTCAAAACTCTATT